TAGATTTGGTGGGCTCGTTCCTCTACACCCGTTACCACAAACCCTCTCCCATTCAAACCCAACCACGTCATCACCCTATTTTAAATTTCTATGATTTTTTTTCAAGTGTTGAATTACAATCTTCAAGCAAAAATCCACTGCCCGAGAACACGGAAAGCCGGTGCGAACGACCGCAGAGAATCATCACCCCCGAGAGGGACGAAATTTGGCTCCATGCTCACGTTAAGTCGTGGTCAGCGTAGGATAATTGATAAAAAGGGGAGACTGATAACGTGCGCCATTGGGAATGTGGGGCCAGGGAAAAAGACCAGGGGCAGGTGTTGTCAATTCAAATGTCTCTTTTCGGTGTACTCGAAGAGATATATTTTAAAATAAAAAAGAAAAAAGAAAAAAGAAAAAAACAAATTAGGTCAGAAATAGCCATTCATTCATCTCTTCAACTTCGCCAGGTACACGTGGTCACTCGAATCATCTCAGCATTAACACGTCATATCATATCGTTTAACGATATTTTGAGATCTCGAGATTTAAATCTCGGTTCTCGTGTCAATGGATTTTGATTCCTCCCGTTACACGAAGTTTGGCAAATTGTCACGAGCTTTTGTCCGTTGGAAAGATGCCGTGCATTTAATATCGCCTAAAGTACAAAAATCAAAACATTTTCCAAATAAATAAATATTTTTTTTTTAAATTAAAACATTTTCCTAATTTTTTTTTTAAAAATTAATATTTAATCTTTACGACAATAAGGATCTCGACGTTTCTCTGCGACATAACCACGTTATCTACTTACTTGTCTTGACGTGATTCTAAGACCGAAGACTATCCCCACCATTCAACACAAAATCTTTTAGTACGTCTTTTATCACTCACGTGTTTGCTTGAAAAATTCCCAAAAAAAGAAGGTGCACCTGATCATCTTATTCTCAGGGGCATTCTAAGTCAGAAGTGGTCATGAACCATTATTTATCTTCATTTACCCGAACGTTATGTGCCTGCGAACTTCCATTATTGTTCCTCTATGAATAAGAATCAACAACCCGTATCTTTTGAATTAGATAGAAGAGTCGTAAGCTTAAACGTGCATTCGATTCGATCGGTCTCGGGTATGTTTATTTATGGTTTAGATGTATTTAATAAGAATGTCCTTGGGTGAATGTTGTGGGAGGGCAAAGAAGAAAGAAAGAGGTGCATTGAGCATGTGATGTTGGGACTTAAAAAGTGGGAATTTTGTACTTAGAGAAGGCATGGTGATGAACAAGTACATGAGCTTTGTTTGCTAACAAAGAAAGAAGCACAGTGACCCATTATTTGGCCTACACTGTCCAATCTCTTCCACCATATCTCTCAATTTTTGCATTTATTAAGGTTTCTAGCTGTGTTTTTTTCATGTTACAGAACATTAAATTTGGTTGTTTCGTTTGATTTAAACAGTATGGTAAGCTAAGCGTTTTAAATAATGTTTGATGACTATTAATAATTGATCACGACACCTAGGTTTGTTATGCTAAAATTATGTACTATCGACTATCGTGCTTGTAAGTTGATTGATATAAAAATATGTTGTTATCAAGTGTATTAAATAGTGTTGATAACTACGAATAATTGATCACCGCACGTGGGTTTGATATGCTAAAATGATATACTTTTGTATTTGTAAATCGTTCGATATGATAATATTTCATGTTAGCGAGTTCTTTAAACAGTGTTGGTAAGCGTAATTAATTGATCACGATGTGTGAGTTTGAGGTTGACTTGGGGAAGTTCTCTTCATCCAACTCACTTAGACCTCCACTGTACGTTCTTTGTTGATGAATCGTTCTGACTAAAATAGATGCATAACTCGTTTATTGCTTGTGTCCTACGATAGGGAAAGGTACAAGTATGCCCTTGTATTCAGATTTCGAGCTTCTAACAATAGAGTCAAATCCGAACCATTTATAACAAAATCGAGTTCCATTTGCTTTGCAGATTACCTATTCCACTTAAAATACAATTTTATTGTTGAATTAACACGTAAAATTACTTTCAACCGTATGAACCTATCCAATTTTAAAGTAACTCGAAAAAAAGAACCCTTTCGAAACCCTAATTTTGAGTTTTTGCCCACTTGTAACCATGAACTCAACGATTAAAACCTACCCTTAGGACAATTGATAATATGTACATGCTTTAATGATTCCATTAATTATCGAGTTGCCATTGCACGGTTGAGAAGACACTAATCAAATTATAGAGTGCTAGCTCAACTTCCATTTCTTTTCCTCCACATTAATTTTCACCTCCCGTATCATCATTCCTCTCACCCATTTTATTCAACGAGCTTACCCTAAAGTGAACACTATTATATCATCTTCAATATATGAGATTTCCTTATTATTCTCTCAGAGAGTTCGTTGAGGCACAGTGACTAACAGAACATCTAAAAGTAAAGCGCTGTCTTAATGCATAGGCTACGAATGCAATACCAAATCGGTACCAAATAACGATTCTAAATAGTTATCGATCGAAACATAGTTCATTAGATGAAACCGGACCATTGACGTGAAAATAAAGAAATGTAAAAAGAGTGAAAAGAAAGAAAGAAAAATAGAAGTAATGGGGAATCTAAGAAGGAGCATCCCGAGATATTTCCGTGGTAGGAGCAAGAAAACAGGCTAGCTTTTGCCTAACCCCACAACACCATTTCCACTATTTTTTTATCCCTTCTCTATTCCTCTTTTCCTCTATATAATTTTAATGCCCTTTCCCTTTCCTTTCAACTCCAACCCTTTTTCTCCATGCCTCTTCTCCTATCTCTTCTCTTCTATCACCTCCCTTCCTCTTTTATCACCTCCCATGGAGCTCTAGGGCTCAAACGGGTTATCTTTTTCCTTCCATGGTCTTTGACCACCTTCAGCTCTTTCTCATATCAAGCTAAATCCATGTGATCTTCACTGGGTTTTTGGGGTTCTTTCATGGGTTCTTCTTACATTTTTGAAACATGGGGCTTATTTGCTTAAATGGGTCACTTTTTTCTTATGAGTTTCTTGACCAAGTTCGATTTTTTCCTCATGCTAAGCTAAATCCATTTGATCTTAACTGGGTTTTTGGTTTTCTTTAATGGGTTCTTTCTAGATTTTTGATACATGGAGCTTATTTGCATAAACGGGTCGTATTTTCTTATGAAGTTCTTGGCTGAGTTCGGTTCTTTCTCGTATGAAGCTAAATCCACTTGATCTTAATTGGGTTTTTGGATTACTTATCTGGGTTGTTCTTAGATTTTTGAAATATGGAGAGTCTGGTATAAAGATCTGATCTCTTTATGGTGGTAATTAGGGTTAAAGGCAGAGCTCCTTGAAGTCCAATAGAGGGTTATGGCAGGGTGACTGAGCTGCTGAACTATGGATCCCACAGCCCCTATTTGATTGAGCTGCTCATAGGCCTGTGGCTTGCATATCTCAGGAGCTTCATCGCCTGTTTGGTTACACCCTTGTTTGGATTGAAGGGAGCTCTACATATTCTCTCTAATCATCAATTAACTTTTGTTTGTTCATATTCATTCTCAGCTAACCCTTTTATGCCTTGATTTTCTCTATTGGTTTTGATAGATCTTTGCTTAACTTTTGTTTTGGAGTTTAGGGTTGATCATTGCAGGTAGTGAAGGGCTGTTTTTCATGATCTGTTTTCATTAGAACGGTGTGAGATCTGTGCGACGTTCATTTGTTCTCTAGTGTTGGGAGTACGATGTTGTTGTTGCTTGGTTGCTGTTTGATGTTTCTGGACATCCTTTTTAGGGCTGCAACTTTGAAGAAGATGAACTTTGAATTATTTCTTTCAAGTTTTCTTTGTTTAATAGTTTGGGATACAAATTCCAATACATTCATATGATGATAATACAAAACAACATTATATATTTGTAGGCAAATTTTTGCACTTCAATTTTGAAATTTTCATTTAATTCTCGTTTACTTGGAAATTGTAAAAAAGAATTTGAAATTAATAATGTAGGTGTAGAATCTTTTGGCATACATGACTTAGTTTGTGTTATTGTTTATCTAAATTAGTTTGTGTTATTGTTTATCTAAATTAGCTTGTGTTATTGTTCATCTAAATTAGTTGTAATATGGAATAAAAATTGGTTCTACAATGATTTTAGTAGTGTTTTGAGTTATTTCCAATTTTCTATATAATTTTAATTAAATAGTTAGTATTATTCTATATATAATTTAATGGAAATTGAAGTTTTAATATGAACACAATCTAAATTGCTTTGGAAGCAGCTTTTTAATAATGATGTATTACAATAGAAATATCCTTGAAATTTGTATTATATTTAAACCATAATATAAAGTTAGATTGCACAAATTTCAAATTTCAACCCTCTTAATAACTCTAAAATTTCAGTTTTATTGACCATTAAATTTATCTAAGCTTCAAAAGCCCTTCTAAAGTTTTTTTTTTTAGATTTTAAAAATAATCTTAAAATATGAACAAACTTTTGAAGTAACATAAAAAAAAAAGGGTAATTTAAATATAATGTATTAATGGGATGGGTATGTTTCAAATTTTGAAGAAAAGATCAAGGATATTAATGTAATTTTTATTGCTAAAGTGTATTTTTGAAATATTATAGAAAGTCTAAGGATATTTTAGAACTATAAAAAAGTTTTTTTTTAGACTTCTTAAAAATTTATTAGTATTTATGAGACATTTTTTTTGTTATTAATTTAGCTTCAATTTTAATAATCCTTTAGTTTTCAAAGTTTGAGTTTAATAGATCTTAACATAATTTATTTTTTAAAAAAATTGAAAATTGAATATTTTGTTTCATTAGGTAAGAATTCAAATAACATTATAACGGAGAATTCCATTCGACACAATCTTAACTCAATTGACATTTTTATAGTTGGGACCTACAGAAAATAAATTTTAGATCATACGTAAGAATTTAGGGATTTAACCAAGACTATTATTGAACAAAACTAAACTTTGAACATGTGGTAAGCAAGAGTCAATTATTGAACAAAGCAAATAATTCTCTGTGGTACCTTAGTTTATATCAAAAGAATTTGAATTGTCATCAAATATTATCCATTTGATTGACAGTTTGGTAGTTCAATAATTTATACACAAAACATAATGTAAATAAAAATCAGAGAGTTACCCAATAACGTGGTTAGCAAAAGCAACTGAATCTTCTCCCATAAACCGAACTCATCTTCCATATCGGCATATGCTAAGAGTAACAAAAGATGTCCGCAGTCTCTAGTTTTGAGCAGCATAAAGCATAAACCATAGTTAGGATGCTCCAATTCACTTATTTAAATAGCTATATATAGTAAATTGAACCATATATATAATTCATTAGGCAGAGCTTTGAAAATATACGGTTGGTATTCTCCGTATTCTCTCTTGCTGTACATATCTGAAATCATGTAGCTGAAATCATAACCCACAGATAGGTTCTGAATATTCCAAATATGTGTGTAAAAGAGATAAAAAGAAAAATGCAAGATTACTTTTTTTCTGCCTCTCTCCTTCGATCCTGGATTTGATCCTCTATTTGAGAGGATACAACTCGGATTTCAATATTTTTCTGGCAAAGTTCCTTCCATTGTGTGGACAAAACATGAAGCTCAGATGCAGCGTTTTGCTGACCATTGCATAAAAAATCAACCAACAATTCCAAAGAATTGACCTCTAGCTTATACTAATAATATGAATTACAGGGATGTTACTCACTTGATGGAATTTTCTTTCGCGGTTTACTTTTTCCATCTTCTCATTCTGTTCTTGAGCTAATTGTTGCAATCTGACAGTAACAAGACAATATAAGTAACAATCATATATGGTCAAGTTGGTCAGATGTAGTTTCTTGCTTACTACATTAAGAAATGACATGTACATAAATGTGGCCAAGTGTTCTATAAAGCTAATGCCTGTGATGCAATGGTTTTTAGTTTTGATAGAAACGGCCCTTGCCTCAGATAATGTGACAACAAGCAAGTGAAAGTTGGAATGTCTAACCAAAAGAGAGACACCGACTTTTATGTTGCAGGGGCATGCAGAATCTCATTGTCATTATATCATGAAGATCCCAAATATAAAGTTCTCGGGTATTTACAATCTTAAATAACGTGAAGTGATAACCTCCTCAAACATAAAGTTTCTAGCATGGATGCAACATTAAAGGGCACCTAAGCAGGACCTTGTACAGGATCTATTTTATAAGTTGTACTCCCATGTACTTGAGTTCTAAGAAAGAGCACATAGGCGCTTATGAAAGAAAGAGCCATAGACAGCAGCAAATGCATCTGGATGTTTCATTTCTTCTGACTAATGTAGTCAAAAGTAAGGATTGCAATGCGTTCACCAATGTGCAAAGATAAGCATCTAACAATAATAAAGTCCTTGATCAATGAATCAATTCAATTCAGATGAGAATAATATAGTTGTGGTGTGGAAACCCAACATTACCAACTGTCAGATCCCACATCGGTTGGGGAGTAGAACGAAGCACTCTTTATAAGAGTGTGGAAACCTCCCCTAACAGACGCGTTTTAAAACCTTAAGAGGAAGCCCAAAAGGGAAAGTCCAAATAGGACAATATCGGCTAGTGGTGACTCTAACTGTAGTCCAACACATGAGGTCGTGGTATTGCAGGAATTCCAGGACCTGTATGAGTTCAAGCAGCCAACTCGAACTGTTCTCCATAAAATTAAAATTTTCGAAATACAAATCTTAAGTAGCTAGTGTTGGATGATGGAAGTCCCACATCGGCTAATCTAGGGAATGATCATGGATTTATAAGTGAGGAATACTAACTCCATTGGTGTGAGGCCTTTTGGGGAAGCCCAAAGCAAAACCATGAGAGCTTATGCTTAAAGTGAACAATATCATACCATTGTGGAGAGTAGTGTTCGTCTAACATGGTATCAGAGCCATGCCCTAAACTTAGTCGTGCCAATAGATTGGTAAATCCTCAAATATCGAACAAAGAACTCCTAAAGAAAAGGAGCCAAGCCCCTCCTCGAAGGCAGTCAAAAATGACTAAGACTCCAAAGGAGTCGAGTCTCGATTAAGGGGAGGCGCACTTTGTTCGAGGGGAGGTGTTGGATGATGGAAGTCCCACATCGGCTAATTTAAGGAATGATCATGGGTTTATAAGTGAGGAATACTAACTCCATTGGTGTGAGGCCTTTTGGGGAAGCCCAAAGCAAAGCCATGAGAGCTTATGCTTAAAGTGAACAATATCATACCATTGTGGAGAGTAGTGTTCGTCTAACATGGTATCAGAGCCATGCCCTAAACTTAGTCGTGCCAATAGATTGGTAAATCCTCAAATATCGAACAAAGAACTCCTAAAGAAAAGGAGCCAAGCCCCTCCTCGAAGGCAGTAAAAAATGACTAAGACTCCAAAGGAGTCGAGTCTCGATTAAGGGGAGACGCACTTTGTTCGAGGGGAGGTGTTGGATGATGGAAGTCCCACATCGGCTAATTTAAGGAATGATCATGGGTTTATAAGTGAGGAATACTAACTCCATTGGTGTGAGGCCTTTTGGGGAAGCCCAAAGCAAAGCCATGAGAGCTTATGCTTAAAGTGAACAATATCATACCATTGTGGAGAGTAGTGTTCGTCTAACATGGTATCAGAGCCATGCCCTAAACTTAGTCGTGCCAATAGATTGGTAAATCCTCAAATATCGAACAAAGAACTCCTAAAGAAAAGGAGCCAAGCCCCTCCTCGAAGGCAGTAAAAAATGACTAAGACTCCAAAGGAGTCGAGTCTCGATTAAGGGGAGGCGCACTTTGTTCGAGGGGAGGTGTTGGATGATGGAAGTCCCACATCGGCTAATTTAAGGAATGATCATGGGTTTATAAGTGAGGAATACTAACTCCATTGGTGTGAGGCCTTTTGGGGAAGCCCAAAGCAAAGCCATGAGAGCTTATGCTTAAAGTGAACAATATCATACCATTGTGGAGAGTAGTGTTCGTCTAACATGGTATCAGAGCCATGCCCTAAACTTAGTCGTGCCAATAGATTGGTAAATCCTCAAATATCGAACAAAGAACTCCTAAAGAAAAGGAGCCAAGCCCCTCCTCGAAGGCAGTCAAAAATGACTAAGACTCCAAAGGAGTCGAGTCTCGATTAAGGGGAGACGCACTTTGTTCGAGGGGAGGTGTTGGATGATGGAAGTCCCACATCGGCTAATTTAAGGAATGATCATGGGTTTATAAGTGAGGAATACTAACTCCATTGGTGTGAGGCGGTTTATAAGTGAGGAATACTAACTCCATTGGTGTGAGGCCTTTTGGGGAAGCCCAAAGCAAAGCCATGAGAGCTTATGCTCAAAGTGGACAATATCATACCATTGTGGAGAGTAGTGTTCGTCTAACAGAACAATAAAAAACATATCAAAACTTCACCTCAGCACTTGATGACGTAGTAAGCATTGAGCTTTCTGAAGTGTCTGCTTCCAAGAAATACATTCTTTTTATTTGGAGCTGGCATCTCCAATTTGTATCTTGCAACATCGAGAGGCACGGGAGGCCTCCCAGCTCATACACGTTCATACTCTCTGGCAAGCATTGGATGATCCTGAGTCCAAACTAACTATCGTCAACATTATCCTATTTTGTAACATTTGCAAGAATTATCTTAAGTAATGGTAAAATAAATCAAAGAAGATCAAGTAGTGGATCTTATAGTCATTGGTTCACATGATGTGGCTTCCGGATAAACAAAATACGGCATTCTAATTCTTTGATTGATTTTTAATTTGATTCTCTCGACCTTGTTTTCGAGTAAACATTATGGAGGATGTTTCAATACAGAACCAGCAAATGAGGCTTCTATAAACACTTCCAAATTCAGCATTAGCAACTTTCAATCAAATATATCCAGTCAAAACAATAATAATTTGTTCTTTCGCCCATAAAAACTTAGAATCAGGTGGAACTATAAGTGCATAACCTAGAGGAAAACTCCGGCGGGAAAGGAAATCGCAACCTAACTTACGTCAAATTTGAACTTGGGAATAGGAGGCAAGTCTTTGAGAAAGTCGGCCGGTCTCTTGGAGCTACGCCGCATCTCTTCCTCCACTAAGCGATCGACCTCTGCTAGGGTCTACATAGTCGTCGTCGTCGATGTAGGCCAAGGCGTCGATTACCTCCGCATCTGCAGAAACACGCCACGCTGGTTGCGGCGGATCTTCGAGCATTAGGAAATCCCCGTTATTGTTGTTAATCGCCATAGCCACCACAGCGAGCAACTGAGCTTAGAAGTTTCAGATTCATAGAAGCTCAAGTGCGAGAAGATTGAGTTTCTTCAGCCGCCTTCACAGAAGAAATGGGTTTTCTCCGTTTTTTTTTTTTAAATTTATTTTTAATTAATTTACGATTTAATTAACATTTAAAATTATAAATTTAAATTGTATCGACATTTAATTTAATCACATAAAATTGTAAATTAAAAATAAATAAAAAAACAACATACTCCAAGGCAGCTCACATCACTCTAATCTAAGGATCCACTCGAGTATCAAAAAGCATTGAGCCGACGTCACATCAATATATTGAATTGTCTGGTATCGCTCATATATTACTTTAGATTAGAGTTCATCCAGTTTCATTGAAAGATTCATGAAAATAGAATCAATATGAAAGCCGATTAAGAACAAAAATTTTATAGTTGACTCAAGCTCATCGTAGAAAGCAAGAAAAATGGATATGTAGACTTCAATCTCGATGTGTAGTCCAACCTCCGTTCGTTGTTGTCAAGCAACGACTTAGCAAAATACCCGATGGTGCCGTGATTGCTTTCTTTTGGCGAGTATGATAGCATTTGTAGATGAGCATTGAACTACTACTTTCTAATCAAACTGCTACCTAAAAGTGACAACATGTTACTTCTACAATGGAATTGAGTTGCTCTTTTGATCGAAGATTGTATACTCATGGCTTCTTGTTACTCATGAGCCGGTTAAAGACAGGTTCTAGTCACTTTGGATACTATGTCATTGTAGTGGCACGTGAACCATTGAATAAGGGCGCTCTTCACCCATCGATGGCTTGTGGAATATAAGTGCATCTAAGCACAACACAGCCAAAAGGGTCCGTAATATAATAGAACCGTTAATGATGTTATCAAGAAAGGATAAGAACTATCACGACCATAAAACATAGAAACACACATACATATATATATATAAAGGATCGACATAGAGTAATTAAAACAGAAACACGAGAGTGAAGAGAGGTGAAGGGAAGAAGCATAGCTGCTTAGGACTTCCCTTCGCTGTATACTCTTTCTTATTCTTGTACATACTTTTATATATTATTATTATGCATTATAGATACATCCATACGGATGGATGATCTGGTGACGGGTGACGGGTGAGTATTGCATTCACGCTGCGGTGGCAACCTTCTTAGCAGCAGGCTCCTTCTGGGCATTGAAATAGGTAGCAGCGATGGGGAGGCCAAGTTCGAGGTGGGTTGCAAAGTGGCGAGTGTTGAAGTTGGCTCGGGTGGCTGGCTGCTCGATCATTCCAATAGGGCCCTTCTGCTTGAACAGCAACAGGATGTAGCGGTGAATTCCAATGGGTGGACAAGGCCCCGTGTACGACAAGATCTCCCTTCCTGCAATGTACACCACCACACAACACAACACAACACAACACTATTATATGTTCTATGTTCTATGTTCTGATGGGTCACATAAACAAGTGGCACAAACCCCACCTACACGTGTTCATCTTCATATTCTTCTTAACATATCAACTCCTCCTACATGTGGATGAAGTTACTAAAACGAACTAAAGGGTGTGTGTTCTTCAAATCCAAGCTACAACATTAGTGTTTTAGTCCTTGGTTCTTGAGTTCAATCAAGAATACATTTTCTTGGATGATGTTGTTGGAGTTTGTTACTAAATCAAATGAGGGGAAAAGAGAGGGATAAAAAGGGTAGTTTTGATTTACTTTTAAAGAGATTCTGATCTGATTTCTAAATGGAACAACAGTCGGTTTTCTTCTAAATGAGACAGTGGATAGATCAACCAATTAAAATCCTTACGGTTGGAACAACGACAGCCTATTTAAGTTGGACAAAAGTACTATTTTCTAAATGTGTTTTCAGACATCAAAATTAATCAAAATTTGAAGGGTACAAACAAAAGGGACTAAGACAATAATAAAATAAATAAATTCTTTAATGTAATTTCACTTATTTCATCAATATAATGAAATTTTATTTGATGCATGGATGATCACATCATGGAGTCTTACTTTGATGAATTGAAACAATGTAATGGACAATAGTTTGATTATTTGGATGGATGGATGTATTAGAGGAAGCATGCGTAATTAATAAGCATCATATTCCTTGACAAGGATGGATGTATACATAAAGTAAGCATGCACACATGGATGCATGCATGTATGTATGTGTGTATGTGTGGAAGCTAACCATGCATGCCAACTTAGCTTCTTCCCAAAAAAAAAAAAACAAAGGGTGTGAGCCTTTTTGTTTTTTGGTTAAGTTGTTGTGCTTGGAAGCTTGTGAATGATGAAAATGTAAGAAATCGATTAGAAATGATAAATAAAAGGAAGAATTTTGATGTTTTTACCTAAGTTCACATTTCCGGTTCCAGGGATGTCCACAACGATCCTGTTCATAACATGCAACAAAGAAGCTAGGTAAGTAATCAAGATAGGAAGATATAACCGTTTAAGCATGGTAGATTATAAACAAAGCAAAATTAGATATGCATGAGCAAAACTAACCAGTGCACCCACTCTCTCATATAGGGCTCACTCGGGCTCGGAGCATCTGGGTCAACCATCACCTAGAAGCCACAAACATTCCAAATGATGGAATTAAGGACATGCATGCACAATACACTAAGCGTCCGTGGATACTTAAAAAAAGACATTTCAAATTGAGGCTAAATCAACAAAAGAAGGAGATAAAAGAGAGTGTAAGAGAGAAACCAGAGTGTAAAAGTCGGAGAGATTAAGAGAACTCATAAGGATCCTGGGAGGATCATCGGTAAGAGAAGGCCTAAGGTTGCAGCCATTAGTGACATGCTTGGAGTTGTAGTAGACCGACATGGTAGCCGAGGGCACAAACATGTCGACCACATCGCCGATGACTCGCTCCACCACCAAAGGGTCCACAGAGGCCGCCATGGAAAAGGACAGAAAAAGGCACGGAAATTGAAAGGGAGCTGAATTTGGTGGCGATTAGGGTGATGGGGTTTGAAGTGAAGGGGGAAGTGGGGTTTATATAGATACAAATTTGGTAATGTCTATGGCTTTGGCGATGGAAATGGTGGTGGGATTTGTGAAGCCATGGAACATGCACAGGCTCACGTAAATCATACAGCTCCAGTATTCTACACGTGTGAGGCTGGCCTCGTGGTAGAACCACCGTCCCATTGTTTTTTCTACCCACGTGCCAGCATTACCGCCGTCAGTTACAGTTACCACCTCCTTTTTAGTGTCAAATTACAAAAAAACCCGGTCTGCCTGCCTTATAAGAACCGTGGGATGAAATTGAGAGAGGCTAAACTCGTAATTTAGTTGAAGGTAGAAGGGTTAAAATTTAGGGGTAGTTAAATTTTGAATTGCATGAGAAGAATTGAGAAGGTGGTTAAAGCAAAGCATGGTTTGTTTGGTTGTAGATGTGCTGGTGCCGCTGATTCTGGCTTTTTCATGCAAATCTTAGCTGTGAAAATGGAGCTTTATACCCAACAATGCTTACAAAATATTGGTGATATCATCAGCAAGCAACACCCATTTCTTTATATACATCTCATAAAACATCGTTATTACAATACAATCGAATATTCTTTTGATACGATTAGAGTAGACTTGTTCGGGTTCATTCACGATTAGGTTTCTTTACTGATTCGTTCTTGGTTTTGTTGCATACGTTTTTATTTTCGATTAAAAGATGTTGAAAGGATGAATTGGAAGATGATCATCTCCGAGAAATCAAATGTCATATGATCACCAAAGAATAAATTTATTGCAATTCCATTGCTTTATTTTCTCAAATAAAGTTATATTATATTTGTTCAACCACAAATTAAATAAAAACACGTTCATTCTTTAGTTGTCTCATTCTGATTTGTCTATTTCGATAATAACACTTCTTATTGTTTTATCTGAGCGTCTTTTCAGGTTATTCTATCTAAAAATAGAATTTATCGTTTAGTTGTCTCTGATTGTTCTGATTGTTTTATCTGACGCGTTATCCTATCTAAAAATAGAATTTAAAAATAGTATTATTTTCTGACATAATCTATCTTTGGGAGGAGCTATTGAAAAAACTCTCCTCCCGACTTCTATAGAACAGCTGAAAAAACTCTCCTCTCTCATTTTCCTAATCTTATTGAAAAGTGGGATGATAACTAAAACTCTGTCAAAGATTTAGTGATTGATAGAAAAAATCAAGAACTCAACCATAGCTACAACTGTCACAGATTTAGTAGCAGACAAGAAGAATTAGGAACTCAATAGTAACTTATCACAAATTTAGTGGCTAAAATAATCCAAAACTCAATAATAACTAAAACTTCATATAAATAACCATGGTATGTTGTAAAAAGAAATGAGGGATGAATCCCCTTATTTTCATGGTAGAGGCAAGAACATAATGAGAATTAAAAAAAAACTAGAAATTGAGTTACGAATTGGATGATGTTCTATGAGTTGTAGCAGTTCTAGGATGTGACTTGGAAGTGATCGAAAGCTTACGAAAATCACAAGGCTCGAGATTCAAGAATTGAACCTTATATTGATGTCCCATCATTGAATTCTTTTTCATTGTTGTGCAAAGATATCATCACCGAATATCAAGTTAATTTTCGCAAACACCCATAAGAAAAAGTCCCGAGAAAAAGTCCCTTTAAGAACGGATACGAATTACTCATTCGAAGAGCAATTCTATTAAATATTCTTTAGAGTTCATGTATGTAAATAACCCCAAAAGTAAACAAAATTCTAAGCTAAAATTGCAATTTGGAAAAATTATTTAACCAAATTGACACAATGTGTGGAGTAGTTTTACCATAGGAAGCATAGTAATTATTGAAATTTCATCCCTCGGTTATTATTCTTTTTATTTTGTAAAGTTGACCCTTAAAGGAGGTAGTGTTGTAACTGATGGAGGACATGCTGGCACGTGGGTAGAAAAAACAAAGGGACGGTGGTTCTACCACGAGGCCAGCCTCACACGTGTAGAATACTGGAGCTGTATGATTTACGTGAGCCTGTGCATGTTCCATGGCTTCACAAATCCCACCACCATTTCCATCGCCAAAGCCATAGACATTACCAAATTTGTATCTATATAAACCCCACTTCCCCCTTCACTT